GCCGGCGCTCCGCCCCGAGCCGTTTCCTCACGGTCCCCAGGGGTCTCTTGGTGCGGGCCCCCAGAGGCCCCAGGCGCCTCCCGCCCAGCTTGATGGATCCAGCCTGTGATATCTGCCCGCCAAAAACGCACCTGGACGGCATTGAATGCACAAGCCCCTTCCCCCCTCCCCCTGGACCTGGAGGGGGGGGGGGCGGTGAGGTGTCAGAGCGTCCAAAGAGGCCTCGACGAAAAGGAAAACATTAATAATGTTACTTCCGTTTTCTGCTCAATTTGGCCTCCTGGGGGGGGGGGGGGGGCAAATTGAGGACCCCCCTTCTTTGATCGATCTCATCCAAGATGGCGCCAGGATGGCCCCCAAGGCTACCAAGAGTGCCCAGTACCCCAAGAGGCGCCCAGGAGGCCCTAAGAGGCTCCCAAGAGGTCCCCAACAGGCTCCCAAGAGACCCCCCAAAGGCCCCATGAGGCTCCCCCGAAGCACCTAAGACGCTCCAAGAGGCCCCCGCGACCGCCAAGAGGCCCCCAAAACGCACCAAGAAGCCCCCAAGAAGCTATCAAGAGACATCCGAAGAGACTGGGAGGCGTCCAAGAGGCCTCTGGCCTCTCTGCTCGCCCTCCTCCTCCCTCCTCCTCTCCCTCCCCCAACTCCCAACTCCCCTCCCTCCTCATCCTCCTCCGATTCCTCCTCCTCCTCCTGCGATTCCTCCTCTATCTCCCCCCCCCCCCCCCTCCCCCTCCCCCTCCCCTCCCCCCTCCTCCTCCTCCTCCTCCTCCTCCTCCTCCTCCTCCTCCTCCCTCCTCCTTCTCCTTCTCTTCTCCTTCTCTACAATTACCCAATATGAATACTACTGTCCTCTCTCCCCTGATGACGTCCGGAAGATATCCGCTCCCCTCCGCGTACTGTTTTCTTACACACAAGATTCCCAGGAACTGGCTTTTCGCTTAGTTTTTTTTTCAAAATACTGTTCCCGCTGAAGCGCCGGCATCATTTTCGGGCTTCTGCTCCTTCCGAGACGTGCTTCCGCTGCAGCGCTGGCCTTCTTTCCGCGCTCCCGCTCGTTCCGATTCGTGCTCCCGCTGCAGCCGTGGCCTCATTTCCGCGCTTCCGCTCGTCCCGAATCGTGCTCCCGCTGCAGCGCTGGCGTCATTATTTCCAGTGCCATGCCACGGCATGGTTTTCGGTTCTTCCAAGTAGGCCCAAAAATCTAGAACATGCCCCCCGAAAAAAAACCATCGGAAATGATTCCACATTCGGTGTCGATTCGCTGATGGGCGTCGCCACGCCACTGTCATGCTACGCGTTGATCTTCAACACCATGCTATGCCATGTAATGCTATGCCGCGCTACGACATCCGACTGTGCGGATAGAGAGGGGATCTACCCCATGTTAAGGGATAGGAGGGAGGGGTAGAACGTCAGAGATGACGCGAGCGCACTTAGCTTGTCACCCTCCCCCTCCCCCTCCTCCTCCGATTGCTCCCCCACCCTCCCCCTCTTGGGACATGACGGCTTCCCCAAGTCTTCATTCCACTGCATGCTCCTGCACATCCCTGATCGATGACGATGACGATGACGATGACGTCATCGTCATCGTCATCGCTATCGTCATCGTCGTCGTCGTCATCATTATCATCACCATCACCACCGCCGCCACCACCACCATCATCGTCATCATCATCATCATCATCACCATCATCATCATCACCATCACCATCACCTTCATCATCATCGTCATCAACATCATCATCAGCATCCGCATCAGCATCAACATCAGCATCATCATCACCATCATCATCACCATCCTCATCACCATCACCATCATCATCAACATCATCATCATCGTCATCAGCATCAGTCTCGTCATCACCATCGTCATCGCCATCGTCATCATCATCGTCACCGTCATCAACTTCATCAGCATCATCATCACCACCAGTATCATCATCATCATCATCATCATCATCACCATTACCATCACCATCACCATCACCATCACCATCACCACCATCACCACCATCACCACCACCATCATCATCATCATCATGGCAACTCGCCTGGACATCGTTCCTGGATTGGACTGGTGGGGGTTACGCGAGGCGTCTAGAACTTGTCCACGACGCGAGGGGGCTTGGGATCGGGGGTAGAAACCTAAGTACCGCCGGGCCTTTCCACATCCTGACAGAACAACGGGACAATCAACCTCGAATGGACAAACATAACATGCTAGATATTATCCCACAAACGACATGCCAGATCTCGAGATGTAGATTTTCGGCCGACCTCTCGTGGCGAAACACCTCGTCGAAACTCGGCCAACTAACCTGCCTTCGTTCCAGAACTGCTCTTGAAAAGAAGCCCTGGATGCGCACAGTCAAATTATCAGACAAGATCGAAAACATTGATGTACCCTGGCGCGTACGGCTCAGACCCAAACAAGCAGAAACAAACAACTATGACACAATCTTGGCGTGCGACACAATAACCAACGCAAACCAATCTCTCCAACCATACGTAATCCTCAGGGGTGCGTTCTGATCCGGCGAAGTGTAGTCTCTGGAGGCCCGAGAAAGGCCTGCAAACGCAGACGAACTTACGCCCTCGAACCTCAACCCTCGAAACTCGAACCTGGCAGCCATATGGGAACGTCGGAAACTGGGGTCGGAATGTGTCGGATTTGGCCGCATTGGCGCAGACTCGGAATCGATACTGATCATTCGCGCCAATATGCGCAACAACGCGACTCAAACATCGGGCCGCGCCGGATCGTCGGACCATCGGAATTCAACTGGACCTGGCTGGCTGGAATAGGTACGGAATCGATATCGATCACATCGAGACAAATACTGCTTTTTCCTCGCCAGGGATTGGCCCCAGAGGGAGCTCCACCGAAGGCCCCAGTGGCGCAGTTCGCATGCGTCCCCCCCGCCCAGTACAGCGTTTCGTGGCCCCAGAGGGAGCTCCACTGAAGGTCCCAGTGGCGCAGTTCGCATGCGTCCCCGCCCACACAGTACAGCGTTTCGCGGCCCCAGAGGGAGCTTCACCGAACGTTCCAGTGGCGCAGTTCGCATGCGTCCCCCCCGCCCAGTACAGGGTTTCGTGGCCCCAGAGGGAGCTCCACCGAAGGTCCCAGTGGCGCAGTTTGCATGCGTCCCCCCCCGCCCCCACAGTACATCGGTCCGTGGCCCCAGAGGGAGCTCCACCGAAGGTCCCAGTGGCGCAGTTTGCATGCGTCCCCGCCGCCCAGTGCAGCGTTTTGTTTCCCAGAGGGAGCTCCACCGAAGGTCCCAGTGCTTCAGTTCGCATGCGTCCGCCCCGCACAGTACAGCATTTCGTGGCCCCAGAGGGAGCTCCACCGAAGGTCCCAGTGGCGCAATTCGCATGCGTCCCCCCCCCCCCCACACAGTACATCGTTCCGTGGCCCCAGAGCGAGCTCCGCCGAAGGTCCCAGTGGAGCAGTTCGCATGCGTCCCCCCCGCCCACTACAGTGTTTCGTGGCCCCTTGGGGAGCTCCACCGAAGGTCCCAGTGGTGCAGCTCGCAGGGGTCTCCCCTAATTACCCAGTACGGCGTTTCGTGGCCCATAGGGGGCTCCTCGGACGATGCCCACAACTGCGGTATTCACAACTGCATGTGGTTGGGGTTCTTCGCCAGGCAATTTTTGTTCCGCAAACCTCGACTCTCCCCGAGATGTTGACCCCTTTCCTGAGGCCAACTTTCCGTACAAAATGATGCGTTGACGTTTTTTGGCGGTCCCAAGGCCGAGAGCGGCCTCCAGATGTCAACAACATGAAGGCCAACTTTCCGTACAAAATGATGCTTTGATGTTTTTTGGCGGTCCCAAGGCCGAGAGCGGCCTCCAGATGCCAACAACATGGAACACCGACCGCTACGCTTTCGGGATGCAGCTCGGGGCCTCTGGAGGCCGCTCGGGGCGCTTCGGGCACCCGCAGCACGCCCTCGGCGAGGCGCTGCTGCCAAGCAGCCCGAGGCGAGAAAAAGCCTCCAGGAAGCCACGAAGCCTTCCGAAAAAACGTCGACGCCGAGGGGCAACGTTAGAGGGGGGCGGGCTCGGGGGGAGGAGACATCGACCTGGACACCGACACGTCGGCGAGGGGCTCCCGATGGCGAAGCCGCGTGCTCCTGGGCTGGGCGGGCCATCGGGCCCCTTATCGGACCTCTCGGTGCCTCGCCCTCTCGGCCTGTCCCCTGCGTGACATTTGCCCCCCTGACTTTTGCGGGTCGCAGCTCCGCCGTCCAAGGCCCGTCCGGGGCGCTCCGGGCACCCCCGGGTCGCTCGCGGCGAGGCGCGGCCACCGGAAAAAGCATCCCAGGGCCGGAATGCCGCTGAGAACCGGCGGAAACGCCCGAGCACCTCGAACCCTGAAGTCCAGAACCTATTCACTCTGAGCCTGACCCCTCTTCACGTGCGTTGACATGTAACTCCACACGTAGATCGAATACGTAAGTCTGGCGCGATACGCTCGTCAAAACGTGGGCCAACACGTGCGTGAGACGTGATGAACACGGTCCAGTCAACCCGTATTCTAAGGATGCGCGGTAAGGATGCAAGGGCCTTGGAAGGCCATGTCGACACTTTGCGAACGGGGCGCGGCCAGCGAAAGCGGGCAAAAATGGGAAGGATGCAATGGGCCACCTTGGAAAGCTGCTCCTCCTTCCTGTGCAGCTTGACTGCGATGCACACGGTGCGTGCCCCGTTTCACCGCGTGCGCATCAGGACAGCTGAGGGCACGGGAGTAGGGAAACAAACAATGACACAAACATAACAACTCGGAGGTCCGCGCGGATTTCTCGGATCGGCCGCGGAGCGCGCCAGGTGCGGCGCCGGAGGCGCCGCCAGGGGGCTCCAGTGCCGATCCGAGAAATCCGCGCGGACCTCCGAGTTGTTATGTTTGTGTCATTGTTTCGTTCCCTAGGGAGGCGAGAGCGGCGGAGGCACGACGGCGAGGCACGAGCCCAGCAGCCACGCCAAGGGAGGGGCAACGCGGCCACCAGCCGTCTGCCCTCGCGGCTGGCGCGCTGGGTGGCGCGGCGCCGGCCGCGGCGCTGCTCGGGAGCGGCAGCCGAGCCTCGCCGCCGCGCGGGGTGCGTGTCTGCGACCGCGCGCGAGCCCGGCGGCAAGGAACCTTTGCTTGGCGTGCCGCGGAGGCGGCCCTGGCGACACGCTATGCCGTGCGAGCGGGCAGCGTGTCGCTCTGCTCCGCGGGGCGGCACGCCTCGGAAGGCTCAGGACGTTGACGCTTGAAAGAAAGGCGTGGGCAGCGTGTCGCGCCGAAGCATGGTGGGCCAGAGCAGGCGGAACGACACGCTGAGCCAGAGTTCCTGACCGGACGTGCCCCTACCCTACCCAGACCTCCGAGGCATGGAAAGAACCAAGACGGACGTGCTCACCGCCGTCTTCGGCCTCTGGCGGCCGTCGCCAGGCCTGGAGACGGTCCAAAGGCGACTGACCCAGGATGTAAGACGAAGGCAGACTTGAGACAACATCGGACCCATGCAGATCGAGAATCTCCGAGAATGCGGCGGGCTTGGAAGCTGTGTCGGGCGCCGCGGCCGTTTCAGGACGTTCCGGAACGCTCTGAGAGCGTTCTGGAACGCTCTGGAACGGATTTTTTTTTTTTTTTTTTTTTTTTTTTTTTTTTTTTTTTTTTTTTTTTTTTTTTTTTTTTTTTTTTTTTTTTTTTTCCCCCCCCCTTTTTTCCTGAGCCCGTCCGACACGAACGACTCAGGACGAAACGCCAGCCCCGGGGAACGGGTCCGGACTTCTGGGGGCCACGTGTGGGAAAAATCGGAACATCGGATCTCTCCGTCTGCGACCACTTACGAGCCCTAATTACCCCCTCGCCTCACGGGTCCACTTGACGCTGGGGTGTCGAACACCCCCGCTGGGGTTGACCCGGCCACAGGCATCCATCGAGTTCTGAGACCCCCGTCGGCGTTCCAGAAAGCAGACCTGCAGGGGTAATTCGGGTTCACACGTGGTTGCCTATCGTGTGCTCGGAACACCCCAGCGGCTCTCCCCGAATGTAAGATGATGACGGTCGATAAGAAGACCCAGGGGAGACTATCAAGGAGATAGTCTTCTGCCGCTGAGACACACATTCTCTGGAGTGGACGACGAAAGCATCTCAACGGCGGCGATCACGCCCATGAGCACGCTGGGAACCCAATGTATCTATCATCGCCCTCTCCCCCTTCTTACCCTGAGATCTGGGCGTCGCATTTTTTACACCACGCGTTTTGCTCGGAATTCTTGCGCTAGGGCTCTCGCACGTCGGTCCAGCTCGAGAGATGCCGCAGAAAGATGGGGTCTGGGGCTCCGGTTGTGATTTCCCAAGGCAAGATGAAGGAAAACTCGGATGGAGGCAAATCGCGAATCTCTGAGACCTTCCGGGCCTGGAATTTGCATCTGGCGCCGCGGCCGTTCCGAGAGCGCTTTGAGAGAGTCCCGGAACGCTCTGCGATTTATCGTCGTCCTGGGCATGCCTGACTCCTCGCTGTCCACTCCTCGAGGTTCGAGCTTCGAGGACCCAGGCTCGAGGGCACCAATTATTCGACGTCTCTGGCCTTCATCGGGCCTCCAGGCGGCTTCTCGTCGCCACCTTCTGGTCAGAGCGCACCCCTGGACGGGTCCAGCGGCCGATTTTTTACCGCCTAGATCTCCTCGCGACGTGAACAACATTCGTCGATAAGGCTACGATGAATTTCGGACTTCGGGAGCCCTCATGAGGAAAAGACTCGGGATGAGAATCCACTGCTGCCTCCAGAAGTCCGTGCTCCCGCTTCCCTGCCCCTTCTCTCTCCCCCAAGACCTCCAGAGACTCGATCGGCTACACGCAAGAGTGACCTCTGGGTTGGAGTGACCTCTGGTGCGCGGCTTTCGGGGAGCCGCGGATGGGGCCAGACCCAAGCGCGCAAGACGCAGCTGTCGCATCGCATTCGGCGTTCGGGGGACCCCAGTGGGCCCGCACCAAAGTCGGGGGCGCGCAACATGGATTACCGATCCATGGATTTGGCGCGCGGTCACCAGATCTATGGATCGGGGGAAGTGCCCTCCCCAAACTGCGGCTGGTGCCGCCTCGTTCGGCGGCGGAGATCCGCGATGTCTCATGGAAACGGGACCCGTCGCTAATCCACGCCCCCTTGATCCATGCGATCGCCTGACGAAGGTCACTCTGGCGAAAAGTCACATAAGGCCACTCCTACGTGCAGTCGACTCGAAGATATCGACGGTTCTACTGTCTTGTGCGCTTCTGGCCTCCAGAGGCTGCCTTCGGGCCTCTGGGACGTCAGCAACAAACAGCCCTGGAGGATCACCTGGTCCCGAGGCATGTAGGTCGAGGGGGGCTGGTGCCCCCGAGGCGCAGAAGTTATCGAGCCGCCCTCCATCCTGCTGGCCCTGTCATTTCCCCATCCCCTGCCTTTCCGCCGTCCTCCCTCGCCCATCCCCCCCTCCCTCGTGACCAACTTCGTGCCTGCCCTTCTCCCTTCTCTTCCTCCCGCTCCGTCTCCCTCCCGCTGCTGCTCATGCCGCTCCCTCCCCTCCCTCCTCCTGCGTCCCCTTCTCCCTCTCCTCCTCCTCCTCCTCCTCCTCCTCCTCCTCCTCCTCTCCCCTCCTCCTCCTCTTCTCTCCTCCTCCTCCTCCTCCTCCCGTTCTCAATTACCCTAATTGTTTTCACCTCCCCGCCTTCCTTCTCCTCCTCCTCCTCCTCTCCTCCTCCTCCTCCTCCTCCTCCTCCTCCTCCCCCTCCTCCTCCTCCTCCTCCTCTCCTTTTTCCTCCCCTCCTGCTCCCTCCTCTGCCTCTGGATCCCCCCGCGCGGGCATCGGCCGATCAGAAAGTCCATGTCGTCTGGAAGCGTCCCACTGTCCCGGCTCGAGACCCTCCGCTTCCCACAACAATCGTGTGCAAACATTGGCACGCCCGAAACGGGTACTTTGGGTTTCTTAATAAGCGTGGGGAGGTACCCCCCCCGACGGGGGTCAACCTCGCCCCGTCGTCGAGCTGCGACGGGGGTCGGAACGCCTTCGGTGCGCGGTGGCTGCCCGCGACGGGGATCGATGTGGGGCTGTCGGCGGGGGTGACGCCCCTCCGACGCTTATTAAGAAATTCGGAATAGGAACACATGGGCACGATGCCCAACAACAAGTGTGGCGGATTCCGGAAACCCTGAGTCCCAAGACGTTTCCCTTTCTTGGGGGGCGCATCTTCTACTTCCGCCGCCTTCCGCCGAGCTTCCGCCGGCGGAGGCGGCCTCGTTTTACTTCCGCTGACCTTCCGCCGAGGAAAAGATGACAACTCCTTCGATCCTCGAAGGCAAAGTTACCTTGGAACGCCTCATGTCATCTCAAACCGACAGCGCCCGCTGCTGGGCAGGTGCCCTTCTGTCATCTAAAGTTGGCAACGTCCGCGGCGATGTCGACAACGAAGCCTGTTCAGAATGCGCAGCAACTGCTGTCGGTCCTCGTCCCAACTATATCCGGGCAAATTTCTTTCGCACCGAATTGCGCGACCCGAACTTGAGCTGCGAAGCTGAAGGCGTGCTCAGCGCAAGGCCAGAAATCGACGGCTTCTTGCAGTCATCGTGCTACCACAAGGAACGAGGAATAAGGAACACATGGGCTTTCCTGGCCACGGCGAACCTCAGCCACGACCTGGATCTCGGGGGCGGCCCCAAAACAGAGCCCCTCCTGAGCCCCACAAGATCCTCATTTCAACATCTTGACTGTTACCCCAGAGACCGACGGCCTATCAGCATTGCGCTGCTGGCTGTGGCGACCCACCCACGCGGACGCTTCCCTTGCAAAGCAGTAAGTCATCGCTTGCTTCAGCAGGGAGGACCTCGAGGCCTGGACGGGCGACCCGCCCATTTTTCTGATATCCCTGGTGCCTGCTGACACTGCGTTCGGACGATGCGCTCGCACGCTTGTGCGCAGGAATGGGGAAATAGCACTGATTTCTTCACGCGCAAAGGTGCTTTGAGGAAGTAAGGAGCGTTCTCATGACACGCCGTCGACGAGGGCGAGAGCCGCTCGGCGAATGACGTAAAGATGGCCAGCCGATTCCTCCTCAATGGGTGATGGAGGCGGCGGAAGTGTGCGACAGGTATTGCACACATGATAGGCGGCGACCAGAGCCTCGACCTGGGGAGCAATAGGGGCTCCATCAAGAAACAGACGAGCTGCAGAGGCCACAGGGGGCGCCACGCTTGTGGGGTACGCCAGCTGCCAGAGCACGGGGCATAGAACGTAGTGGGTGAAAGTGTCACGGCGCTTGGGACTGCACCGAAATCTGCAAGGCACCGTTCCAGTAGGTGTGTGTGTGTGTGTGTAACTTCGCAGACGTGAGCCATCCACCACAAATATACTTCAGCACCGCACTCTGCCAGGAGGGAGGGAGCGGCCCCAGGAGGTCCATCAGCACATATTGTGATGGTGATGATTATTACACAGCCAAGACAACAATTTCTCCACTTTGCCATGCGGATATCTGATATCCCTCTAAATATTCCTGACATGACATGATAACCGTGCCATTCGTCGGAGTATTTTGTCGATCCGCTTAATGCTTATAACTCTGTTACCCCCCAAACGGATTGGAAACTACTCCGCTCCAAACCCTGAGAATTATCGAGCGGGATGCGTCCACGTGCGGAGTAGTTGGAGTATTTCTACTCCGAACTAATCCGCGCGGGTGCGCTATTGGCAAAAGCAGATTGACATACACTTGTATCACTATGATGCGTTATTACTTTTAATACGATTGCTATTCTAAGTATGTTAATATTACTCGCATGATTATTATTCGTATCACCGTTCGTGCTATCATTATTTTTTTATGGGTGCTCTTAATATTATTAATATTCTGATTATGATCATTATTAGTATCACGATTACCACCAATATCAGTTTTGCTCTTATTTTTATTGTTAGTTTTCCAATTCGTATCTATATTATTTTTGTTATTCGCATTCTGGCTATTACT